CAAAGACATTACAGCAAATTTTCATAAAGATAATATACTATGAGCAGGTAGGATTTATACGAGGAATGCAAGGCTGGTTCAGTATTAGGAAAACTATTAGCATAATTAACCATATCAACAAAAGCTAACAGAAATCATAGGATTATCTCAATAGATACAGAAAAAGCATTTGACATTCATACAACACCCATTCCTATTAAAAATGTCAGAGAGCATGGGAATAAATGGAATATTCCTTAAAATGGTAGGTAGCATCTACCTAAAACCATCAGCAAGTATTATATGTAATGGAGATAAGCTAAAAGCATTTCCAATAAGATCAGGGGTAAAACAAGGATGTCCATTATCAACCCTGTTATTCAATATTGCACTACAAATGTTAGCTTTAGTAAGAAGAGAAGAACAAGAAATTGAAGGAATTAGAATACACAAAGAAACAAAGCTATCACTCTGCAGATGATATGATGGTATACTTGAAAATCCTGAAGAATTAAGTGAAAAATTACTTGAAAAAACAAATTTAGCAAAGTTGGAGGTTATAAAATAAACCCACATAAATCATTGCCATTTCTATATATTATCAACAAAGTCCAACAGCAAGAGAAATTCCATTTAAAGTTACTGTAGACATCATAAAATATTTGGGAGTTTACTAGCCAAAAAAAAAGGAACTATTATGAACACAATTACAAAACACTTTTCACATAAATGAAGTCAAATCTAAATACTTGGAAAAATATCAGTTGCTCATGGGTAGGCCAAGTGAATATAATAAAAATGACAATTCTAACTATATTAATTTACTTATTCAGTGCCATACCAATCAAAATACCAAAAATTATTTTATTGAGCTAGGAAAAAAAATTCATCTGGAAGAACAAATGGTCCAGAATATCAAAAGAATTAATGGGGGGGGGGGGAAGGCAAGGGAAGCTGACCTAGTTATATCATATCTTAAATTGTGTTGTAAAGCAACAATCATCAAAACTACTTCATACTGGCTAAGAAATAGAGTGGTGGATTTGTGGAATAGGTTAGGTACGTAAGACAAAACAGTCAATGACTATAGTAATGTACTCTTTGATAAATCCAAAGACTCTAGCATCTGGGATAAGAACATATTTAACAAAAACTGCTGAGAAAACTGGAAAATTATATGGCTGGAATTAGGTATAGAGCAACATCTTATACCCTATACCAAGCTAAAGTTAAAATGGGTTCATGATTTAGATATAAAGAGTGATACTATAAGCAGACTAGGAGAAAAAGGAATAGCTTACCTGTCAGATCTATGGAGAAGAGAAGAATTTATGACTAAACAAGAGATAGAGAACATTATGAAGTGAAAAATGGATGATTTTGATTACATTAAATTGAAAAGCTTTTGCACAAACCAATCTAATGCAACCAAGATTAGAAGAAAAGCAAAAATCTGAGAAATAATTTTTACTGCCACTGTCTCTGATAAAGGTCTCACTTCTAAAATACATAGAGAACTGAGTCAAATTTTCAAGAATATAAGTCATTTCCCAATTGATAAATGGTCAAAGGATATGAACAGGCAGTTTTCAGAGGAAGAAAGTAAATCTATAGTCATATGGAAAAATTATCTAAATCACTATTGATTAGGGAAATGCAAATTAAAAGAACTCTGAGGTACCACATCAAATCTATCAGATTGGCTAACATGACAAAACAGGAAAATGATAACTGTTGGAGAAGACAGTAGGGCAGTGGGAATAGAACACTAATGCATGGTTGGTGAAGTTGTAAACTGATCCGACCATTCTGGAGAGCAATTTGGAACTACACCATAAGGGCTATAAAACTGTGCATACCCTTTGACCCAGCAATACCACTTCTAGATCTGTATTCCAAAGAGATCATACAAATTGGAAAAGGACCCACACACACAAATATATTTGTAGAAGTTCTTCTTGTGGTGACCAAGAATTGGCAATTGAGAGGATGCCCATCAACTGGGGAATGGCTGAACAAGTTGTGGTATAAGAATATAATGGAATACTACTGTGCTATAAGAAATGATGAAAAGGCAGACTTCATAAAAACCTGGAAAGACTTATATAAACTGATGCTGAGTGAAGTGAGCAGAACCTGTAGAACATTGTACTCAATAACAGCCACATTGTGCAATGACTAACTTTTGTAGACTTTGCTCTTCTCCGCAATGCAAGGATCTGAGACAACTCCAAGAAACTCCTGTTGGCAAATGCTATCCAAATCCAGAGAAAGAACTATGGAGTCTGAATGCAGATTGAAGCCATACTATTTGCTCTCTCCCTTTTTTGTTGTTGTTGTTGTTTTTGTTTCTTCTTTATCATAGTTGCTCCCATTGATCCTAATTTTTCTTTATAATATGACTAATGTGAAAATATGTTTAATATGAATGTATATGTAATGCATATATCAGATTGCATGCCATCTTGGATAGAGGGGAGAGGAGAAAGATGGAGGAAATTTAAAACTCAAAAGCCTATGAAAGTGAATGTTGAAAACTAAAAGTAAATAATTAAATTAATTTTTAAAATGTATAGGAGGTAAGAAAATGGGTGCCCTTGGTTTCTTCCCAAAAAGTTTTGCTATTAAAAGGAGTAGAAATATAGCACAATAACTTGAGGGGTATGGTAAAATAAAAGTCTGCTAAAAGATAAAGATATCTGAGAATATAGGTAGGCAACAGGAAGGAGCATAGATTAAAGATGTTCAAATAACATAACATATGTAACTTTCTTTGTAAACCTTAAAGCAGGATATAAATACTAGATATTATCTTTATTATCATTAAAATGATAGAATAATCAAAGGAGCAAACCTAACAGAGAGAAAAATGGGTCAGGTATCAAGGGCATAAGTAGATAACAAAATAGTAGCCTAGAGCATTGTGCTCAAGGTCACACAGGTAGTAAGTAGCAGAGCCAAACTTATTTAGTTCCTGTGACTCCAGGACTTTTTCAGTTCCCTCATCCAAAAGACATCTGGCACATGGTCAAGAATCACATCTGTGGCTTTGGTGTATGAGACACCTCCAAATCACTATTGTAATGCTAAAGATTTGTCTTATCTCAAATATACTTGCTGTCTTCCCAGTTTCACCTACAAAGGCTGTCAGGGTGATCTGGTTTAGCTTACCTCGCACCAAACTTTCATAAGGCTTATTTTCCCTTTAACTGTTATTCCTTGTTTTGGCATATGATACTATTTTTCAATAAATCCTTATTTTTTAAGTGGGTTTAAATTCTAAATATGTGTTGCCTTGAGCAGAATTTCTCTCTACTTGTCAAGGAAATCAAGTAGTTGGTGGCCAAGACAGTATCTTGGCTCTTTCGGCTTTTTGTTATGTTCACTATAATGTATGAATTAAACTACATAATTCACATTTGGAAGGATATTCAGAAACTGTCATGCCCAAGTGAAGCTGAACAAGAAAGTACTCTCCAACATACTCATCAAGTAGCTGTCTAATTTTGTTTGGTGTTAGAGGGAATTCATCTCCTGAATAAATCTGTTCCATGCTTAGATAGCTCTAATTGTTCAGAAATGTTTTTCTTATGGTCATCAGATATAAATGGCAATTTTCAGATGAAGAAATCAAAGCTATCTATCTTCATATACAAATGATCTAAGTCACTATTGATTAGAGAAATACAAATGAAAACAACCCTGAGGTACCACCTCACACTTATCAAATTGGCTAATATCACAGAAGAGGGAAATGACAAATGTTGGAGGGGGTTGGGGAAAAAATAAGGACACTAATGCACTGTTGGTAGAGTTGTGAACTGATCTATTCATTCTGGAGAACAATTTGAAACTATGCCCAAAAGGCTATTAAACTGTGCATAGCCTTTGATCAGACAATACCACCGCTAGGTCTGTATTCCAAAGAGATGAAAAGGACCTAGAAGTACAGAAATATTTATAGCTGCTCTTTTTGTGGTGGCAAAGAATTGGAAATTGAAGAGGCTCCTATCAATTGGAGAATATCTAAACAAGTTGTAGTATATGATAGTGATGGAATAAGATATAACAAGCAGGTTGATTTCAGAAAAAACCTGGAAAGACTTATATGAACTGATGCAAAGTGAAGTGATCAGAGCCAAGAGAACATTGTACACAGTAATAACAATAATATACAATGGTCAACTGTGTATGACTTAGTTATTCTCAGCAATAAAAAGATCTAAGATATTGGTTAACTTTATAACCTTATGTAATTTGTTTTATGCACCTAAAAACTTTATTCTGAGAAGAAATCTAGGCTACCCAACACCAAACAAAGGAGTCTGTATTTGATCCAAAAGGCATTAGTAATGTAATCTGAGGCTTTTCCATCTTGATACAATCTACCAAAGTTTGTCTTAAAGTCAAGTAAATGAACATTTATTATGTGCCTACTATATGCCAGGAAAGGCAGCTAGGCTGTACAGTGGATACAGTGCTGGGCCTGGAGTCAGGAAGACCTGGGTTCAAATTCAGCCTCAGACACTTACTAGCTGTGTGACCCTGGACATGTCATTTAACCCTGTTTGCCTTAATTCACTGGAAAAGGAAATAGCAAACCACTATGCTATTTTTGCCCAGAAAGTCCCAAATGAGATCATGAAAGGTCAGAGATGCCTGAAACAACTGAACAAACATGTGTCAAAACAATGTGCCAAGGACTTAAAATCACTTTGTAACCATGTTGAGGTCTTATAGTAGGAATTTGTAAAGGTGAAGTCATGTGATTTGGTTTTGAAGAGGACCTGTCTGCCCAATATAATATCCTATGAACATCTCTCCCTTTTAACCTATCCCCTCAGCTAATTTTAAGTATACTACTAAGTAGGATGCCTTTTAATAATAGGTAGGGCAAAATTTGAATTAGTAATAAGAAATGACTAGTTTGATACTCCATCTTCCATTTTAAGCGTTTGTAAACATACATGGTCATTGAAATAGTTTAAACTAAAGTAAAATGTTTGTTTTCCTGCAGTGAGTTTCCCAGGAATCAAAACCTACATTGATCCAGATACATATGAAGATCCATCCCTAGCTGTGCATGAATTTGCAAAGGAAATAGATCCTTCAAGGATTCGCATTGAGAGAGTTATTGGGGCAGGTAAAATTTATCTACATTTTCATAAATAACTTTATGCTTATATTTCTGTTATATTATACAGTGTGTCCCAAAAGTCTTAGTACATTTTAGGCTACTAAAGCTTAAAAAAAAAAAACTAGGACTTTTGAGACACCTTGCATTATCCTATAAACTTTATTATATTTTAAATTATATTTATACTTGTCATTGGTTTATCGGCATCACATGTTCTAAATGATAGCTATTTGAGTAATTGAAACAAAGAGGAATAGAGACTGGAACTGATCAATTTATATTCATAATAGATTAAGGAAAAATAATAAACAAAGTAATCTTGCATTTATTCAGAATCTATACAACTAGAAAGCCCTTTAGTGGATTTTCTTTTATTATAAACTCCATATTCTTTTATTAAAGAAAAATATTACAAGTAAGGAAGCTTATTTCAGAGATTCTGAAACATCAAGAGATTATCACAGTGTATGCCAACTCAACTCAATATTATGTTATGTGTGTGTGTGTGTGTATCTTCTATCTCTATAAATATACTCTATATCTCTATTCAATATACCTTCTATCTCTGTGAACCTATAACAGTATGAAAGATAATCATAGTGATGACCTTGAGGTATTAGATCATATTAAATTACCTTCAGAAAAAATAATGAAAGTTTAAATTATGTTCATTATGGTCATTGTATGAAGTGTATTTTAGTCGCATTCTGATCATTTTAAAATTAATATTTGATACAAAGCATTTTTTCCATTAAACAAAACCCTCAAAAAACCAAAACACTTCATTTTCTAATCATTCTGAATGAATGTAACTTCCCTGTGAACATAATCATATGTTGAACCTCTTTCTCCTAATTTTTGGGTCATATAAGTCAGTGGAATGAAGTTTTCTAGCAGTTTTACTGAATTCTTTGCCCCTTATGGCAGAGGATTTTTGGACAGAAACTATTTAATTGTACTCTCATGATCAATCCAAGAAAGTACATAATTCTGCAAGTTGTAACCTCGGCAGGACCAAGAAGCAGATAAAGTGGTCTCCAATGAGAGAGGTGATCAAATGAATTCCACCATATTTTCCTTATGTTGTATTCTTCTCTGGTCCCTTTGAAAGGCAGTTCATAGCAATAATGGTCATTTGCATAGTATCTTACAATTTACAATCCCACAAGGTGAGTAACATAAGTATTGCCTCCAGTTTTACAGATGAGGAAACTGAAGCTGAAAAATTTCAAATGATTTTCCTCAGAATTAGTGACAATGCCATTATGGGGGGGAAAAAAAGTCTTCTTGTCATGAGTCCCATGTTCTGGTAAGAGATAACATGATATAGAGCAAAAAACACTGGCCTATGAATCAGAAGAAACCTAGGTTCAAGTCCTAACTTTGACACATAATAGCTGTGTGACTGTGAACAAGAAAACTAACTTCTCTGAGCCTCAATTTCTTTATCTGATCAATAAATATCATAATAAGTGTAACTATTTCACAGAATTGTGTTAATCAAGTGAAGTGTTACATATATATATATAAAATGCTTTGTAAACTTCAAAGACTCATATAAATGCCAATTATTCCTTCCACCACTCCACTTAATGTGTACTTCATGTCATACACAGAAGCATAATAGCTGAGTTCCCTCAGCAACCTTCATAGCCCAAGTAACTAAAACTGATCTTGAATTCTTAGGGTTTGGAATCTGAGACTATAAGAACTGCATTTCCTAATGCACAGAATGAATGAATGAATGAAAAAAGTAGTCATTGAGCATTTCCTATATATACCTGATGGGGAATAAAACAAAGCATGCAAATTACTATTTTCTTTTCACTTAATTTCTCAACAAAAATATGTATTCTGTTCCTGACAAAAATTTGTGATGGCTATTGCCAGAGGCAAGCAATAACTATTAAGAGATTTTTCTTCTATTATATCCACCTGCTGTCTGAACATTAAAAACTCATAATGGAAGAACTTTCATGTTTATTGGGTAAAATCTTAGATCCTGGGAGATGATATCGGATTATTTTTATCATTTGAATGACCTGTACATTGATTTTTCTCCTCCACATGTCTTTGCTCGTTTCAACATAACATATCCTAGCAACATCAGAGAGGCAGCATGGCATAATTTTCATAGTTTTTAGACAGTAGTCTTCTAAGTCTGAAACTTTGGGTTCAAGTTCTAACTGAAAGATACAGGAGGTAGATCACTTACCCTCTCAGTTTTCTCTAGATACCTCTCTAAGACCATAAGTTATACAGAAGGTGATGTGTCTGACCTATGTTGGTAGAGGGAATTGCCCCATGGGGAGATCCCCATTAATTGTGAAATCAGAATTCTTATTCCTATCCCTATTCTAACAACATGCTTAAAGGCCTTTTAGTTACCATCAGCAAAGTTATACAAGCGTGTTAATACAAGCCAGCTGCAAAACATTTTTCTCATTTTGTGTTCATCCATAAGACTGAATTAGATCATGCACTGAAAAACCTAATTTATAAGTGTAAAAGTAGAGTGGATATGCTTATGGATAGCAAAGTGTGTCCTAAACAGGGGTGGTTTAATCAAAGGAAAAAAGCAAAATTCAATTCAACCAACATTTTTAAAGCATTTTATAAGTACAGGAAGCTGTGCTTCCTGCCAGAGATAGAAAAAAGAAAGACAATAGTGTCTACCCTGAGGTAGTTTACAAAGCAAAGGATGAAGGGGTCAGGTGTCAAGGAGAAGATACAACACATACACAAAAAAAGTAGAGACCTAGACCTAAAAGAAATGTTCCCTACCCTACAAAAATTTGCAGAACAGGAGTTACATTCAGGTAGGGATGTCAAGGAAATCTTAATGAAGGACCCTGAAATAGCCCTTGAAGGAAGAAAAGGATTTCAACAGGAATATTTGGGGAAAGTACATTCCAGGTTTCTGAGGCTTTAAGAAAAGCCCAGTTACATTCATTCTGCCCAGGCTTTGGGCCCTAAGTGTTTGATTAAGCTCTATAGCATGAATGATTGTTAGCCTTTATTCATGGAGATCTTTAATGGAAATTGGCTAAATGTTTTTAGAAAGAATGATAGACAGACAGACAGACAGACAGACAGATAGATAGATAGATAGATAGATAGATAGATAGATAGATAGATAGAAAGATAGACACATAGACACACATGTGCTTACCTGGGATAATGAAACTGAAGAAAGAATGAATTACTCAGGGAACCAATAATAGTCTAGTTGGTTCAGAATATAGAATATATATATAGCAGATTAGTGTGAAAAAAAAGATTGGAAATGTAGATTGGAACCATATCATAGGGGCTTTACCATCCAGGATAATAAAATAACAAGGAGAGCAACTAATATGATAGTTATAATAGTTTAAAGAAAAACAACTTTGAAAGACTCAAGAATTCTGATCAATGAAATGACCAATCATAACTCCAGAAGACTAATGATACCTACTTTACAACTCTTGGAAGAAATAAGAAGGACTAGAAATGTAGAATGAGACATATATTTTCAAATACAACCCATGTATGAATTTGCTTTGGTTGACTATGCTCATTTTCTACACAGGAGAGATTTCATTTTGGTGTCAGAACAGTTAAGGGGCACTACTGCAGGGGAACAGGGCAAAATAAAAAGAAAAGGAAGAAAAGGGCTTTCATTAAATATTAAAACATACACAGAAGAAAGGGGTCAGGTAAGCAGGACAATATTAGCATTATTGTGCAAAATTTAACATATAGTGTCATAAAAAAAGTTTATTTTAAAATATACATCTACTTTCATTCTTTATATAGGGAAATGTTCGTGTTCGTTGATATTTGTTAAGTTTATAACAAAAAAGAAAGAAAAAGGCAGATACACCCTTCCCTCCCACACCAAGAAGAAGATGAAAACCCAAGGTTACGGATTTTTAAGTCTATCCTACAAACAGTAGCAGACATGTGCTAGCTTTTATGCACAGGAGTAACAATGATCAGAATGATACATTTCAAGAACTATTTTGGCAACTGTGTGTTAGAAAAGGCATAAATTGAACAAAATAAGACTAGTTAGTATGACTATCTATAATATAATAAACACTGGCCCCACTTTCCCGCCATAAACTCTTTAGCTCTGAGCTAAGCCCAGAATCTTCTTTTCAGTTGTCATTGACTGAGAAAGAAGAAGGACACAAGCAATCAGAGAAAAGACAAGGTTCATTAGAGGAACTGAACCTGAAAAGAGTCAGGGTATTGTTGCTGGAAAGAAAAAAAGATAGGGAGTAGTGGGAGTAAGAATAGAAGAATCAACCAAAAACCTCATACTATTTTTTGGGTCAGAGGCTTCTTTCAGATAAAATCTCTGTATTGAGATATTCTATAATTTGCTTCCCTCTCCCTTCTCTCCTTCTTTCCATACCACTCTAAACTAATCAAGAAAGTCCTTCAATTTGTGGACTGTCCAGGGTTCTAATTAAAAATTTAAAGCTTGCTGGTGATGCAATGAGATTATCAGACAATCAGAGGATAAAATCAAAATAAGTATATTTAGATTTTAAGTTTTTCCTCTGCCTTTTGGGGGAGAAGTGAGAGAGAAGAGAAATAGGAAGACAGGCTATAGGGGATGTGTGGATGATGAATGTGGATCTAGGCAAAGGTAATTTGGAGAAAATTACACAATATACTCACAATGTATATAACAAACCTTAAAATAAATTTAAGCCTTGTAATAAAAGGCTAACCTTATACCTTATAAGACTAATCATTTATGGTACTCCAGTGAACACGGTCTTAAAATCCATTGTTTTTTCTCCCCTGTAATTTGTACTGTTTGTTCTTTATAAGTTTTCTGGTAGACACTGAAAAATAGATATCACAATGTTATGGAACAGTAGCTTATCTTCATTTATCAATATAAAGCTGAAATTTTCATAAAAATACACATTTTCATTTAAATGAAGTGAGGAGCTATGCCACATATGGAACTATCAGGAACATCTGTCTTTGTTGGCTTTTTACATCTA